TAGCCCCACTTTAGCTTGTAAACAAACTCCCACTATTCAGTGTCAGTGTGATCTCTCCAAGGAATTTACTTACTTCTCAGAAAATATATCACCTGGTTCTGACTACTAGTGTAGTGAAGGTCTCTCTATAGTGTCACTCCACTAAGATTTTATGTCTTAGTTCCTAAAGCTGCCATAAAGCATATGACTTTAAAAAACAGGAGTTTATTGTCTCAAGGAGTTCTGGTGTGGCACTGTGGATTAATGCGCTGGACTGCAGGGTTGCTTTGAACTGCATCTCAGAAACCCGATACAGGGTTGCTATGGGTCAGAAATGACTCAACAGCACTTAACAACAACACTGTCTCGAAGTTATGGAGATCAGGAGTCTGCATTGAGGGCATTGGCAGGACCTTGCACTGTCAGTTTTAGAGAAAGGTCCTTCCTTATCTTTTCTAATTCTGGTAGCCCCTGGGCATTTTGGGGTGTTTTTTTTGGCTTTTAAATGCATCTTTTCATTATATCTGTCTTCCATGTGTGACTGTACTTATCTGCTCTCCTGTTTTATAAAACACCAATTAGATGAATGAGAATTTATCCAACTCCAGCATGATTTTGTTAATCTAATGACAGTATCTTCAAACACAAACTTTGTTTCCAAACAAGATCACATTTAGGTGCAACAATTATCTTTTGAGGAGACATAATTCAATCCATAGCATTTTGCTAAATACATTTTGTAAATACATTTTTGTAAAGTCTCTTTATCCATCGAAGATAATTTGTTTCTCCATGGAGTAGATTAATTAAAAATCCCTTGGGAACCGAAAGGATGGTGGATTTGTTTCAGAATTTCATAAACTCTAAGAGCTGAAAGAAACCTCTGAAGCTACCTAGTCCAAGTTGTTTACATTAAACCAATCAGAAACACTGAGTTCTTAAAAAAGTCTATGGGCTGGGGTAGCAGCCTAGAGGTGGGGTCGACCCTGGCTCTAGTGCTTTCTCCTAAGCAACAGCTGATTCTAGACGTGAAGTGATAAAATTACTCTTGAAAGGGCTGTGCACACAGACCCTTACACTGCATCCACATACAAACCAGTTTGAAAAGGATAGAAAAAGCAGTATAAATGTAAACAATTAAACAGAATAGACTCTGAAGCCAGCATATTCACTGAAGATGGCTCATTTTGATTGTTTAGAGGACCAAAATGAAATATAAATTTAATTAACAATGGCTTCACTTTGGCCTTAATAAGTATTCAGACTATTTTCACTTTTACAAATCTCTGATTCAAACAGGGGCACAAAATTGATTTTACTGACATTTATTCGTCAAGATCAGTAATTATAATATTTTCCCAACAAATCAATGTGCTTCTGAAAGAAAGCATAAAGTACTATGGAAAGCTCTATTCCCTTGTTTAGGGTACTACTTAGGCATACCAATGACCAACTCCAATGCATCTTTAGTCCAGTGACCCACAACACTGAAGACCTACAGCACTAATATTTCTTGGTAGAAATATTTACTAGGGAATCATCTTTTAATATTTTTGTTAGGAAAACAACCTCAAATATTCCCAATTCTTTTTAGTTTCAGGGTGTAACTAACAAATAATATTAATTATTGTGCCAAAGTGCTTGCTTCCTAGGGTAAGGAATTACCTTACCTAGGTAAGGAATTTCAGCAATCAACAACAAAATGAATCTCACCAGAATGCTTTTATAACATTGATACGAAAGACAGAAAGTTAGTTTCTCCACTTGACCTTGATATTGAGTTTATTGGGCAAAGTTACATATTAGGGGATCAATGCATTAATGAGTTGTATCTGCTGTAGTTGAACTTCTCAAACAATCCACCCACTAATTTAATCACATATAGTAAAGAACTGACGAGTTGGCAAATGTATTCTTTAACTCTGAAATATCTGAGAGTTTCCTTGTGGTAGCATTCACAAGCACATGAATGTATTTATAAGGTACAAAGAACAACAGGTAAGTTTTCCTTGAATCTTTTTTTGATTAACAGCATTTTAGAGAGAGAAATGCTGTTAACTATCACTTAGTATGTGGCAGTGGCTTCAGACCCCTCGGGATGGTTCCAGACTCCTCTAGTAATCAAAATGTGATGAATCCATGGACTGCAGATCAATAATCCTAAATTGCCAGATTAAAACCTGAGGTCTGGAGGTCTGGTGACCTCCTAGCGGTCATGCTGTGCTGTTCCCCTGTCTATGCTATATTTTCAGATATTGTGAAAACAAAGTTACCCCAACTCCTTGGCTCTTAACATGCATTTAGACAGATACATATGGACAGCCAGAGCAAAAAGATTTAAAAGCCGAGCAGAAAAAAGTAACTTGAACAGAATGTGGCATTTTCCCTGGGTCTGTTGCTAACGGCCCACATACAACCTGCTTTAAAATAACACCCTGGCACTTCTTTTCATCATCATTTTAAAATGATTTAAATGGACATTTAGAATATATAGCATTGAGCATGTGTTCTAACTGGGGATGCATGGAAAAGAGTTCTATAAAGAAAGGCTCATTTTTAGTTATCAGGATAAAGCTGATATGTACTTTAGTCTCTTCTCTTTGGGTCATGCTTTTAAAGGCAAAACACAGTTTTAAAATTAATTGTATTATTTTTAGGTCTCCAGTAGCACTACACAATGCTTTTTGTAAGAGAAGTAACTATCAACATGCATACAGTTAATTCATATTTAATTATAAATACCAATTTACTTTACATGCCTTCAGGATTTGAAGGCTTGAAAGAAACATAAAAAGGAATTTTCATTCTCCTTATATTCTGAACTTGAAAAATAAACACTAAAGCCAATCACAGTTTGTTTTACTAAAACCAATCTGCCTTTTAAGAACCCTGGTAGCCTTTTGGATTTCGAATTGCACTGCTAATGGCAAGGTCAGCAATTTAACTCACCAGCTGCTCGTTGGGTTGGGAGAAAGATGAGGCTTTCTGCTCCCTTAAAGATTTATAGCCTAGGAACCAACTAAGGGCACAGCACACTCTCACCAGACTCCTATCTCTTAGGCCTCACTTTTGGAGTGATTATTTCCTGAACATTGTTCCAACTAAAGTTCTTCACACAAGAACTGTACTATAATTTAAAACTTCTATAAATCTAGACAAGTGTCCATAACCAACCCAATGGCTTATGAACCTCTTGATGCTCTTGGATGGTTGTTAGCAAACACTTTTATTGATAATTGTTCTAACAAAGTTTATTTGTAAACAAATTTGTCCAATAATTTTCAAGATAATGCTGCAATTATATATATATATATAATTGTTACTGTGGGTGAAGGGAAAACCGGACCAGTTAGAATTGCTCTGTTCACTGCCCTAGTAAGACAAGTAAGATCCCCTATTTTTCTCAGTTTCAAGTTTTTAGTCCTGAATGTTACTCTTAGGCATTAAATTTTAATCACCTCTCTAAACAACAACAACAACAACAAATTTTCTCATGGGAAAACATCTTCTTCCTTTAGCCCTTTAATTCTGAAGAATTTTCATGTTTCACTGCTAACCACTGTTTAAGTACTGCACACCTGGACCCATCACATTAATATGAGTAGACACATCGTATACTATAATGGAGACAGGCTTTGGAGAATTTATTTCAATTTACATACAATCCTCCAAATCCTCTGATGAGTTTGACGTGAAATCTGATACGGCCCACAAATCCCCCTATAGGATCTTCCTTTGCTTTCAGTGTTCATAGCCAAAGGCTCCAAGGATCCCTTGGAGAGCCGAGGAGGGGCTAGGGAGTCAGGAAGAGGGGTGACTGCGGGGCTTGTTACACTGAAGATTTACAATGTAGTTCTTGCAGGCGGCTCAGCAACCCCCTCTGTGGCAGTGGGTGTCTGGTGTGACAGAGCGGAGAAAAGCTCTCTAATCTCCCAGTGCCTGCCTCTGCCGCTGAACCGCTCCCCTCCCCTCCTGCCTTCCCTGCCTCCTCTCGCTCTCTCCCTCGCCTTTGCCTCTCTTAGGGAGGTTTCAGTCCCTGAATGCAGCTAGAGTAATCTAGACCCGAAGCTTGTACGTGTGCACACACACACAAACACAGACGCACACACATGCACACACGCTCGCACACACGCACTCCGGCTCTCCCCACGGGGATACGGAGCAAACCCGAAGCTTCATCTACCTGAAGGGGATGGCCTGGCCGGACACTTCTAGCTCACTTGTCATCTCCGGAGGGCAGAGCAACATCAGAATGAGGGAGGTTCCCTGTCCGATCTGCAACCTCAAGATGTTTGACACCACTGCTGCTTAAAGTGTCCAGGGTAGAGGAAAAGGCGTCTCCAGGACAGATTCCCAGCACAGCTCCGCAGCCCCAGGACTTCCTCCGTGTGCTTCACTCCGGTCTTTCCCTCCCCACCATCCTCTCCTTCCCGATTGCTGAGTGCCTGGCTTGGGCGCCTCCGGTGCTGCCGCCACCGCCTCTGCTGAGAGCACATCCCACCTAGAGGACTGAACGCCGACGCTGGAGTCGGGGGAGAAAACGGGAGCCCTAACTTCCTTCCTCTAGATTCCCTCTCCCTACAGCTGTAGGTCCTCTCCAGCCGAAGACCAGTTGAAAGGATCCCGCGGAAAGCTGGGCGAGAGTGCGGAGCAAGGGAGGGCCAGGCGAGAGCCCCAGGAGCGTAGGGGCGGGGGGCAGCATGTGCCCCGGCGCCCGGCGCCCGTCTGAGAAGTAGCGCGCCTTGGAGGAGCGAGACGCTTTCCAAGTTGGGCGCGTCCTAGGGCCAGCCTAGGCCGTCAGTGTCCCGAAAGAGGCGGGGCTGATGGGGGGAGCTGAGGCGGTCCTTTCCTACGGCTAGTGCCCGTCTTAAAAGAACCTGGGCCACTCTCCCCAGTGTCCCAAGCGGCATCGCGCCTTTGGCCGGTGTGCGCTTTCTGATGCCAGCGCTGGAAGTCGCTTGTGTGGCCCGCCCGCGGGGGGTGCTGGAGAGGGCGGGGGAGGAGGAGGAGGAGGCAGTGTGATGGCCCTGGACGGCGAGCGGGGGGAGCAGGAGGAGGAGAAGAAAAAGAAGAAGAAGAAAAAGAAGAGGAAGAAGAAGAAGAAGGAAGAGGAGGGGGTCGAGAAGCGCAGCTCACCCTTTGTGGCTACTATGGGGGAGGACAACGCCGCTCTCCGGGCCGGCGGCAGGGGGCTCTCGGACCCATGGGCAGACTCCGTGGGAGTGCGACCCCGCACCACGGAGCGCCACATTACGGTGCACAAACGACTTGTTCTCGCCTTCGCCGTGTCCATCGTGGCGCTGCTCGCAGTCACCATGCTCGCAGTGTTGCTCAGCTTGAGATTCGACGAGTGTGGCGCGAACGCAGCACCCGGCGCCGACGGCGGCCCCTTGGGCTATCCCGCGCGCGGCGGTAACGCTAGCTTCCCGGGACCAGCCCGGCGCAACCACCACGCAGGCGAGGACTCTTCGCAGCCTGAAATAGGTGGGGAAGCCACCCCCGGTACGCCGTCTGCCCAGCCGCCATCGGAAGAGGAGCGGGAGCAGTGGCAACCATGGACACAGCTGCGTCTATCCGGCCACCTCAAGCCGCTGCACTACAATCTGATGCTTACCGCTTTCATGGAGAACTTCACCTTCTCTGGGGAGGTCAACGTAGAGATAGCGTGCCTGAACGCCACCCGCTACGTCGTGCTGCACGCCTCCCGGGTGGTGGTCGAAAAGGTACAGGTGGCTGAGGACCGCGCGGCTGGGGCTGTCCCGGTGGCCGGGTTTTTCCTCTACCCACAAACACAGGTCTTGGTGGTGGTGCTGAACCGCACATTGGACGCGCAGAGGAATTACAACCTGAAGATCATCTACAACGCCCTGATAGAAAACGAGCTCCTGGGTTTCTTCCGCAGCTCCTACGTGCTCCACGGGGAGAGAAGGTACGGAGGGAGGCGGTGCCCTGCACCGCCCCACCCCGCCTGGCGGCCAGACCCGTTAGGCGGCCGCCGACCGGGGCACCGGGCTGGCTTCCAATACTCCTGGAAGCGGAGGGCGGGGGATGGAAGAGAGACAGGGTAAGACCATTACTCAAAACCCTTGATGGGGGTCTCCCAAATGCTTGGGTTCACAGAGCTGCCAAGTCCGCCAACTCACTGCCCAGTGCTGAACAATAAATTCCGCTCCCTCTTTTAAGTGGGGACCTCCCCGCCCTCGACCCCAAATTCCTTAGAGAAGTTCAAAGCTCTTTTTCTAAAGGAGACTGTGTAATTTGAGCGATGCCTGATTGATATCAAAAAGGCTGCCAAGTTCCCATCAAAGGAAATTACAGTGAGCGCCTAAGACCAGAGCAGCAGCGCTTCCTGGTTAACAATTCAGGGCAAAATCCTCCTCCCGCGTCCACCTTCTCTGACTCTCCATAAACACTGGGCAAAGCATGCGTTTTGACCACATAAAGTTTTCTGAAAGTGGAAGTTAAGATTGATAACCGTTCACCATGACAGACTTATTGGGGCAGAGAATTGGAAGGGCTACTGTCATGTCCGATGTAGTAAGAAATGCCCATCCTGGAGCTGCCGGTTCCCCAGGAACACATGGTCACTCACTCCAGTAGTTTGAGTTATTGCCCCTGGAAATGACTCAAGTGGTGAAAGGAAAGAAAATTCACCGTGGGTCTCAAATGCCTTGTTAGTGTCTTTGAAGCTTTTTTAGATTTGGTCAGTATTCTGTTCTTTTTGAGAGAGAGAGACTGGAACTTTTCATCCGTTTTTTAGAGTTGGGACTTCCTTCCGAGTGTAGCAGAACTGGTTCAATTCCCAGCTGCTCCTCCAACAGGTGTAAACTTTGGGAATTTGATTAATCTCACTAAGCCTGCCAATTTCTGATAATTAGTACCTCTATTACTAATTGAACATCTATATTAACTTACTTAATCCCACCTGTAGGATGGTGATGGTGGCTATGGGCTGTGGAGTCGGTCCTGACTCTTAGCGACCCTGTTTAGGGTTTCCGAGGTTGTAAATCTTTACGGGAGCAGGGAGCCTCATTTTCTCCTGCAGAGCCACTGGTAGTTTTGAACTGCTGACGGTGAGATGAGCAGCGACTAGGTATTATTCTGTATTTTACAGATGGGGAAATGAAGACAGAGAAGTCAAATAACTTGACTATGATTACAAAGTTAGTGAACTGTCAAAGCAGAAATTTGAATCAGGCAATTAGGTTTCAGAGCCCATACTCTTAGCTCTGTCTTGTGAGTAACAATAATTAAAAAAATAATGTCTGTGGCGTCTTGGTGTGGTGCTGTAAGATACGCACTTGACTACAAACTGTAAGGTCAGTTAAGACTCCACTTAACAAATCAACATACTCTCATAAGATTGTTGCAGATGCCCATGTACAAATGCATTAAAAAAACACCTTGCATAGAGTGTCCTCCATAAACATTAGCTCTTATATGTGTCCAGTAGTATGGAGTTCTCAAATATATTGTTGAATGAATGAGTAATTGAGTTTTACTCTTTCCCCTGACTCCTTTCACTTAAAGCAACTGATTAATTGACTGGTGGTCGTGTACTGTGGAGTCATTCCTGATTCATAGCGACCCTACATAGGGTTTCTGAGTCTGTAAATCTTTATGGGAGCAGAAAGCCTCATCTTTCTCTGGTAGAATGGGTGGTAGTTTCAAACTGCTGACCTGACTCTTAACCACTAGCATCAACTTGGTTAGAGGTAATTTGGAGATTACTAATGCTACCTACCAGCTGACCCTTCCTTGTTCCTAAGTCATTCTCATAACTGCAGAAAACAGGATCAGCAGCTGAGGGCACCTGAAATCAGCAGACCTATCAGCGGAAAGTTAGGACTTGAACTTCGGTCTTTCTGATCCTTGGACCAGGGCTCATGGTGCCTGGAAAGTCTCAGAGAAGGCTTTCTCTTAATGTCTAAGAGTCTGGGAAAGCCTCAGTGTGTTCTGTAAGTACATCAAAGTTATATTATTTATAGAGCACAATGAGATAACCTTGGGAATGTGATGGCTCCATATGATAAGCACAGGACTGTGAACCACAAGGTTGGTAGTTTGAGCCCACCAGCTTCTTTACAGGGTGAAAGCTGAGGCTTTCTGCTCCCACAAGGATTTACAGTCTCCAAAACCCTAAACAGGGTCACTATGAGTCGGAACTGACTCCACAGCACTAACAACAACAACAATAAGGTAATTTCATATAAATAAAATACACAAATGTTTAGTATTTGCATGGTAGTTTAGCCTCACCTATGTGAATGTATACATGATTCATTTTCTAAATCTTAAAATCATACATAGGTAATTTGAAGCTCCTTGCATCATTTCCGCCAACAGTTTTTAAAGAATACAAATTAAACAATTTTTAAGGCAATCATGTCAAATTTTAGGGAAATGCATAAAAGGTAAATTTGCATGTCATATTTAGAAAAAAGCTTGTTATTTCAAAATGTCAATACTGGTAATTGCATATCACTACTGATAAATCTTTCTGTGGTAAAAATAAATACTTCCAACAAATTCTGTTTGAGCCATGCCAAAATATATTTGGTGGAGCTAAGCTTGTTTTGGGTCAGTGCTTTCAAATTAACAGGACTCTTAAAAAGACCAGATGTTTCTACTTGACCCATAACTGATTTCTTATACCCTGGTATGTATTTGCATTCTAATGCTCTCCTTCAGTTTTCCCTAAAGATGTAAATAACTTAGTTGCAAGTTTAACCTAGTGCACATGTGGCTAAACTCAGCACGCCAATAGAATTTCAAGATTCCGTATTTCTGGAATTCCCATGTGGACTTTATTTCTAAACTGCGTCTTAGGAAAAAGTTGCTATTCTTTTTCAGTTTCCTTTAATACCATAGTTAATTTGGTAATTTATTGGTTGTTTTTACTAGAGTTGATAAGATAAAAGAAAATCTAGTAAATGGTTTCACAATTATGTCAACATTCCATATATTAACTTTTTTTCCCTATTGTTGTTACTATGGTTACTTGGAGAATTTTTTTTTTTTTTTTAAACAGACCATTAGCAGGAACTCAGTTAGGGTTGGACTTTTAATGGTAATTTTGTTACAAAAATGTAATGTAAATTAGCATTTTAAAATCCCACTCTCTAAATGGACACTGATACAAACTTTGAATTTTCATTTGATTAATGATTAAATACCTTGGTATTTAGTCATAGCGATCACCAATTTAATTATAGGATAATTTCTGTAAGGAAAACAAATATTTAATCTGCCAATTGGGGTTCACATTGGAAAAGGCAATATTATGACAGTCCACTTAGTCTGTGTGTGGAAACAAATCATTAATATCCAATCAATCTGCTTCTTTGATGCACTTCTCAGCAATCTGAAAGGAAGGATTTTGTTGAGGACAGGAAAGTGAGATTCCACACTGCGCTGTAAACTTTTATTCTGCAGAAGAGTTTACCCTCCACTAGGTATTAGAGGAGGTCCGGTTATGTCCTACAGGGTAGAGCTGTCTTTTATGGTCCCATACGTTACTGGAGAAAGCTCAGAAAGCAAGTACCATGTTAAACCCAGTGCTTTCTACTTGAAGCAAATCTATTGTGTATTGCTCATTTGGCTTTCTAAGAAAGAAAACTCATCGTTTGTTGAGAACTGCAAATAAGTAAATTCTCTTAAAATTGAGATGTTTATACATAAGCAATAAATTATCTACTTTAGACAGAACACATAGTTACTTTTTTCTGAAATAGGTATGTAGCAGGCAGATAAAAGGGGTGTATATTTATGCCATAATCTCCTATAGGAGAATATGCTTGCATAGAATTATGCACAATGTTGTTTTACCTGAAGTAATTGCCGCTATTGGGTAGCCAGATGGTATGCAAACCCATGTTCAAAGTAGGGTACCTTAATTTAGATCCAGATGGTCGGATTGAAAGAGGAAATTTATCCGAGGTAAATGAACATTTTATTCACTTTCAAAAGAGAGATTGGTTCTCTGACAGACTTTGATTGGGTCTATAACATGCCAGAGTAACAGAAGATAGACTAAAATTAGGAGGTTTTCCTAGGTAAAAGACTGTTTAGAGAGAAACCATGATCTCTGATTAAAATGGAAAAATATTATTTATTATGCTTCTCAAAATTGAGATCACATGTTAGTTCAAGTCTGTGGCAAGCATGAAGGATTTTATCAGTGGGACGCATTTATCATTTGTGGTATTAGTGTACTTAGTGTGATGCCTTACTTACCCTTTTGTTTTGGAAGGGATTACTCATGATAGTCAATAAAAATAAGAGGACCATTTGTACTTGACAGTAGACTCATCTTCCATTCATTCTGGTGGGAGATAGTATTATATGACAAAGCAGGAGTATATGGCCTTTTGACCCTTTTTAGAAGTTTCTGAACTAAAAAATCTTTTAAGAACTTTTTTTTTTACATTTTGATTGTGAGTTAAGTGATTCGTTTACATGGGTGAATATCGGTTTTACACTCATTGTTTCATTGCAATGATTACAGTCCTCTGTGTATCATCATTAAGAACTATTTTTTTTTAAATAATATTTTAGTGACTTTTTTGGTGCAAGTTTATACAGCAAGTTAGGTTCCCATTTCCCATTTTCCATACAAATTGTTCACTGATATTAGTTGTATTTATCAAAGTGTATCAATAATCTCATTGTGCTCTGTTCATTTACTTTCCTGTACTGTAGTTTCCCTGCCCCCGTCTCATATTTGTTTTGAGTAATTTTTTTGGCTTTTTGGTTTAATACCACTGGTTTTTAAGTAGGACACTGATCTTATGGGTTGTTGTTGTTTTTAGGTGCCATTGAGTCACCTCTGACTCATGGTGACCCTATGCACAAAAGAATGGAACACTGCGTGATCCTGTGCCAACCTCATAATCTGTTATGCTTGAGTCCATTGCTGTTACCACTGTA